CAGAGGGAGTGAACAGAACAGGGAATCATCAAGTGATCCATCCCCTGTCGCCCATTCCCAGCTTCAGGCAAACACCATCCCTGCCCATCCTGGCTAGTAGCCATCGATGAACCTATCCTCCATGAACTTATCTAGTTCTTTTTTGAACCCTGTTACAGTCTTGGCCTTCACAACATCCTCTGGCAAGGAGTTCCACGGGTTAAGTGCCAGGCCTGGCTCTGGGCTTCCCGGCTGTCCTCAGCCTGTTCAGTTCTCAGCCTGCTCCTCGCCCCACAGCCAGGCAGTGGTGTGGGGCAGCCAGCCCTTTGCTGCAGTCCCTGGCCACCTGCCCAGCGGGTGGGTGGCAGAAGGGGCCCACAGGTGCCTGCGTTGGGCCCGTGGGCAGGAGGGCAGTGACCTTGTCTGGGACGCAGGCTGGGAGTTAGAGGTGCGAAGGGCTCGTTAGCTTGAGCATCAATCCAGAAAGCAGCTGGGGTTGGCCCTGCCCTGGGCACCCCGGGGTCCCGCTGGGGGCACCCTGCTTGGAATGACTGTTTGCGCAGGCGTTGCGACGACGATCGTTTAACCACAAAGCTCTGGATTCGCTCCAAAGGACGAAATGTGGCTCCCTAAAAGCAGTTCCCCACATCAAGGCACTAAGCCAGGGCTGCCTCGACCCATGGCGGTCGCTCCGGTGTGGGCAGGCAGGTATTAGCACTGGACGCTGCACGAGTTCCCCTCTTACACCCTTAGCAAACCGGCCGAGGGTCAGACCTTGGCTAGGGCCAGGAGAGCCGTCTCTTCCCTAGTCCGACATTGGCTGCACCGTGCCTGATTCCGCTCACTTCCCCCCAACCCGGAAATAAGGGAACTTCCGTGGGTCACTGCTGGAGGGACCCCGGTGCCCGCTTCTCCTGAGCCCACGGGCCTGGGGCCTGTCACTCACGCTGACATCCCACCTGCATGGAGAACTGTCCTTCACCCGGCTCTGCTGCAGGCCTGTATTCCCGCAGCCCGGGGCCTACCTGCGGGCCCGTCAGGGGAGCCAGCAGGAAACGTGCTCTGGGTGAACCCCAGCCCCAGACTCAGCCCTGTACTGCTCAGCCGGGGGAGCCTGCTGGGAGCGGAGATAAACCACTGCGGCTTCCCTGAGTGTAATACTCATGGGGGTGCTGTGGGCCGCCGAGGGGAGGGGTGGCTCTGGGTGCCAGGGGCCGCCAGGGGTGGGTGGGGTGGCTCTGGCCCTGGGGGCCGCTGGGGTTGGGGTTGGGGGTGGGTGGCTCTGGGTGCCAGGGAGCACCAAGGAGAGGGTTGCTGGGGACTGCCGGGGTGGGTGGGGGGGGTGCTGGGTGCTACCTGTTGGCCAAGGCCTCCTGCACTAACACGGCTCCTTGTCCTTTGCTCACAGGCCTGCCGAGTCAGGGGTAAGTAAATCTGCTCTGTTAGTGGTGCTGGCTGTGGGGCAGGCCGGGGGCAGCTGGGGCGCTAGGGGGCAGCACTGCTCAGTCCCTCCCTCCTTCCACCTGGGGCTGGGTCACAACTGTGCCGAGCTGGGGTGCGGTGGGAGGGGGCCATACTGGGAGTCTGCCAAGGAAAAGCAGACGCTGCCTTCAGTGGTGGTGCCAGCTCCCATGCAGTCAGTGCTGCCCCCAGCGGGCTGCTAGGGGGTGCCGGGCTGCGGGGCGGGGACTCAGCGGGGGTGCTCTCCCCTCACTGTCAGTGCTGACCCCAGTGCAGCGCCAGGGTCCCTGTACTGTGTGTGGGGGGGTGGTACCCCAGGGGAGGGACCCAGCAGGGACTGGCAAGGCTGGGTATCACGGGGTCCCCGGGCGATGCTGGAACTGCTCCCTGCGCAGCCAGGCAGGACTCTGGGGGAGCCTCCTCTCCCTGAGCAGACGGTCTCCAGGGCAAAGAGCTTCCTGGGTCTGACCTCGGAGCATCCAGCCTCCCCTGCCCCACCGTGCGCTTCCCGCAGCAAGTCCGCCCGGGCGGGGTCCTGGGGCAGCCAGAGGGTCCTGCCCCCCAACTCCGCAGTCAGCCGTGACTCTCAGCCAGCCGGGAAAACAGGTTTATTAGACGACAGGAACACAGTCCCAAACAGAGCTTGTAGGTACAGAGAACAGGACCCCTCAGTCAGGTCCATCTTGGGGCCAGGGAGGCCAGAGCCCCCTCTGGCCTCCCTCCATTTCCCCAGCCAGCTCCAAACTGAAACTCTCCAGCCCGTCCTCTGTCCTTTCTCCCTTTCCCGGGCCAGGAGTTCACCTGATCTCTTTGTTCTCCCACACCTCCAGTTGGCACCTTGCAGGGGCAGGGCCCAGGCCATCAGTTGCCAGGAGACAGGGTGTCGGCCATTCTCTGTGCAGACCCCTGCACACCCCTGTCCTCTAGGGCTCTCCAACAATCACACCCCCTTATCCCACCACCTAGACACTTAAGAAATGCATAGGGGAAACTGAGGCACCCACACAGTATTCAGAGAAAACATTAAGAACATTCCCACTTCGTCACACTGGGGTTGCCCCAAGTGTCTGGAATGCAGAGCGCTGGGGAGTGTAAGTGACTGGGAGTCCCTGCTCGGCGGGCAGCCCTGCAGTGCACTGGGGGGGCCCAGATGGGTCCTGGCTGCCTTTAACTCCTCTCCTCTCCTCCAGCGGACAGTGCCCTCCCCAGGCCCCGGTGCCGCCAGAGGGAGCAGGATGGAGCAGGCTTGTCCCCACCAGCCCTAGCTCTGAGCACCGCCCGGCTGTGCCAGGCCTCCCGCGACTGCCAGCCGTGCGTGCGTGTGCGCCTGGCCCTGCACACCGCAGGTAGGTGGGCCGGCCTCACCTGCACCCTGTTTTAGAGTGGGTTCCTGGAGCCCTGCTTGGCCCCGTGGCCATGGAGACTGGGCCCTTCGGGCTAGGGGCACCCAGAGAATTCCTGGGAATGACCCTTGGGGGGACTCCGAGGGCTGGCTTTGGTGGGGGCTGGGGGGGCTGCTGTGCATTTGGGGCTCACCCCTTTCTCTCTCTCCCAGGGCTGGGGCGTGTCTGTGGGCTGCAGCTGGATTTCCTGGTGCTGGGCTCCAACAGGGCCAACTGGCTGCGGGTCTGGAGGCAGCCCCCGGAGGCTGCAGGCTCCCTGGTGAGTCAGCGCAGACCAGCCCAGGGCTCCTGGTTCGTTCCCTCCTTGGCAGCTGCTCGGTGCCAGCCGTCCAGTCCCTCCTGCTGCAGGGAGCTGGGCAGGCTCGGCTGGCACCGTGCCCGCTCATGGGGTCTGCACCGGGGGACAGGGAGGGGGGGACTCGCAGGGTGGGGGCAGGGGGAGGCTCGGGGGGGGGGGGCTTGTGGGGCGGGGGCGGGGGGCTCGCAGGGTGGGGGCTCACCCTGTGCTCTCCCCCAGTGGCAGGTGCAGTTTGACTGTTTCCCGGTGGAGAGCGGGCGCCGTGTTCTGGTCTCGCTTGGCACCGTCCCTGACCGGGGGCTGAGCCTCAACCAGAGCCACCTGGTCCCTGCAGAGCCGGCAGGTGAGACGAGGTGCGGGGGTCTCCCTCCTTGGGGGCTGGAAATGCCACCTCCACACAGAGACCTGGGTGAGGGGCTGTGAGGTCTGTCTCTAAGGGTTGCTGTGCGGGACCACGGGGTGGGGCTGTGGGGGGGTTGTGGGGACCATGGGGGGGTCTTTCTGGGGGAGCTGGGCTGTGTCTTGGGGCTCTGGGGCTGGCTCTGGGCCACGGCTGGTCCTAGGCCTGAAGCTGCCCTGGGTTTGGCCCAGCAGCTGCCGTCCGCTGGCTGCTGTTCAGCCGGGGTCAGTCAGGGCTGCCTGTGCACGTGGGCACGGGCTGCCCATCCCCGGCCTCTCTCCTCTGCAGGCCCCAAGTTCAGCTACGCCTGGCGCCCGGAGGCACGGGCCATTGAGGTGTCGGTGCCCGAGGGCCCTGCCCTGACCGTGCGGCTGTGCCACCAGCTGGCCCTGGAGTGCGAGGAGCTGTCCACCCCCTTCCCCCGACAGGTGAGGAGCACGGCCCCAGGGGGCTCCCCCCATGCCGGGCGGGGGTGGCCGGCCCCAGGGGCGAGGGCCCCAGCAGTTGATGGGCCAGAGGGCACCTCCAACACTTGCCCTCCCAGCGGGGAGCCCGGCCGTACCTGGGGGTGCCAAGGGTGGACCCGGGGTCCCTGCCTGGGTTGGACCAGGCACAGCAGTGTCCCTTGGGGGCCTGGCCGGGCTCTGCCACCCTCACCCACCTCCTTCCCTGCTGCAGGCGTCGGTGTCTCGGGGTCACAGCGTTGTGCTGCCCTACGAGTTCCTGGTGCCCTGTCTCTGCATTGAGGTACGTCTGCCGGCCACCAGCCCCTGGCCGCCTGGGTCTGGCCTGACAGCGACCCGCGTGGGGGGAGAGAGGGGGCCTGGGCGCTGGGGGCGGAGGTGCAGGGGGCCGGGGAGGACGGGGCCTGGGCACTGGGGCGGGGGGGGGGGGCGGGGGGGGGGGGGGGAGTTGCGGGGGTCCGGGCAGGACAGGGCCTCGGCGCTGGGGCGGGGGTCCCGTGCGGCCACTTACTCAGAATCTGATCCCTTGGTTCCTCAGGCCTCCTACCGGCACCGCGACAGCCTGCGCACCAAGCTGTGCCCTTTCCAGCCCCAGCCGGAAGCTTGTGAGTGTCCTGGGCCGGGCATGCTGGCCTTCGGGAGTTCCTGGCTGGGGGGCTGGAGTCCAGGGGGTGGGTCTGCCGGGCCCCAGCTGCCCCTGCCCTGAGCCCTGCCTGCAGTCTGGCGAGCGCTGTGCCCGTAGCAAAGGCGCCCGCCAAGCCCCCAGCATCTCCCTGGGGCACCTGGGCCTCTGGGCGCTGGCAGGATTCCCAGCTCTGCTGCTCCCGTGGGAGTGGTGCCCTGAGCGGCCACATGGCCTGCGGCCCGTCCTGGAGTCCAGTGCCCACTGGTCCCGTAGCAAAGCGCAGCGCTGGCCTGCCCAGAGCAGTGCCCACGGATGGGCCGTACAGGGGAGATGGGCTGTGCCAAGGCCCTGCCTGGCTGGACTGGGCCGGGCTCCATGCAGGAGACGAGCTGCGCTGCCCTCGCCCCCAGCCCACGCCCCCCTCGATCAGCACTGAGCTCCCACTGGGGACAGGAGTTGTGTCGTGAGCTGTGCCACGGTGCTCAGTGTATACCCGGGTCTCCATCCATGTCACCTGCCCCGACACCTCACAGGGGCCGGGAGCACCAGGGGGACGCTGGCTTTGGTCCAGACCTTTCCTGGCGCCTGGGGGCAAACTAGTCTGTAACTCCAGACCCAGGGGGTGCCTGTAGCCCTTTCACATCCCAGTGCCCTCTGCCAGCCGGCACTGGGGCCCCTGGCTGTGCTGGTGGGGCAGGGTGTAGGGCTGAGCCTGCCAGTGCCTCTGGCTGATGCCTCTCTGCCCCCCAGATGGCTCCGAGCTGTGGGCGTCCATGCAGTTCCATGACTACAGCGCCAGCAGTGAGGCCAACATGGTCATGGTGCTGAGTGCCCGTTGCCCGCTGCACCCGACCGCCACCCTGTGCTGGAAGGAGAGTGACACGGGGGCCTGCCACAGTGTCCCCAACTCCACAGCCATGGAGTCCAACCAGGTACACAAGCACGCGGCCCAGGGCACCGGCTCCGGCGCCAGTCTACAGCGGGGGGGAGCCAGCTGCCTGCTCCCGGAGGGACGCCTGTGGGGGGCTTGCGCTGCCAGGACTGAGCCGGCCTGGGAGTTTGGCGAAAGCCTGGGTCCTGCGGTGCCAGTGCAATCGCGAGCCCCTCCCGAGCGCCGAGCCCAGCGACACTCAAACTGATGCACCTCAGGACTTGCAGCGTGAAGGGAAGAGCCCCTGTGGGCCGGGAGAGGGCCTCAGCACCCCAAGAAGAGCAGGGTCCCCCAGCTCTCAGAACACAGGGAAAGGGGGAATTCAGGGCTGACAGGCCCACCCCACCCCCTCTGCTACCCCTCATATTCTCCAACTCCTCCGGTCTTCTCCCCTGCCACTCCCCCAATCCCTCCCTATTCCCCCTTGCCTGAGGCCCTACCCCCATTCCATTTACCCCCCTCCCCATAATGCCCCCATCCATCCCTTGCTGCAGATCCAACCACTCTTCCCCTGGTACCACCTGCCCGGGCACCCCCCACCCCTCCACGCCCCGCGAGCATTCACTGCTCAGAATCCATTTCAGGCCCTTCCAGAGAATCTGCCGTCCTCCGATTTCCTCACAACAAAGTAGAATCATAAAGTGACTGGGGGAGGCAGATGTTCCCAGATGTTCATGGTTCATTCTCAGATTTCCATCGGGGGTTCCCTGTCCCCCTCCCCAGTGTGTAAGAGTTTCTGGATGTGTCAAGGGTGCCTGTCCCGTCCCCGTCCCACCGCAGCAATGTGTTCTCAGCACGTGCACCGAGGGTGCCTGATCTCTCCTCTCCCCCCCCAGATCCCAACTCACATGGGGGGTAGGGAGTGGGGCTCAGATCCCCACTGTGAGGCAAGCCCCTCCCCCCCCAAGAACCTGGGTTCCATGAGGCGCACAGGAGGTTGGGGGGGACTGACTCCCTTAGATGGGCAGAAGCCCGCCCAGATCCTGGCGCGCGCACAGTGGGGGCTGGAGAGTGGCTCAGGGACCCCCCCTCCGATCCCATTTCACATGGGGGTAGAGAGAGGGGCTCAGCTCCCCCAAGAAAGGCAAGCCCCAAGACCCTGGCTGACACAAGGGCGTGTAAGAGGCCAGGTTAGGCCCCATAGATGGGCAGGAATCCCCCAGAGTCTGGGGCACACACAAGGGGGCAGGAAGCAAAGCTCAGACACACCTGGGGGGCAGGGGCCCTGTCACGGAGTCCCCGGGCGATGCTGGAGCTGCTCCCTACGCAGCCGGGCAGGGCTCTGGGGAGCCTCCTCTCTCGGAGCAGACTGTCCCCGGGCAAGAAGCTTCCCCAGCTTCCACCTTCCTGGGTTTGAGCTTGGAGCATCCAGCCTCCCCTGCCCCTCCGTGCACTTCCCACAGCGAGTCCGCCCAGGCCCCCAGATCCTGGCACCCACCCAGAAGGGGAGAATATGGGGCCTCCCATCCCTCACCTCCATGTGTCCCTCACTCCCCAGCCCCTCTGACTTTCCCTGCCACCCATCCCCACTTATCCCGCTCCCCTCAATACAGCCCCAAGCCTCTCTGACCCCTATGCCCCCCACTCTTCCACCCCCTAAAATGCCCCTCCCCTGCCAGCAAGCATTCGCAGGGGGAACTTTATTTATTACAAAAATACTTTGATTACATTCCCACCCCCCCGGATAAATGAACAAACAGCCTGCTGGAGCCGGATTTCGGCAATACGCCAGCCACCTGTTCCAAAGGCCTGGCCTGACACGGCTAGCTGGCTCAGGGTCAAAGGATGACTGCGCATCCCCTGGAGCTGTCAGGCTGGGGGGTGCTTTGAAGGCTAACAGCCCTGTTCACTCCTCTCCCCACATCTGCCCTCGGGGGTCGGCACAGGAGGCTTGCAATGTGCTGACCACGACCAGCTTGATCTGTTTGAAACTACGTTTTAATTTGATTTGCCCTGAAGGCTTCTGGGGGCCGTGCCCTCTGTTGGGGTGGCCCTCAAGCGCTGGGCACCTTGGTGCAATGATCTGAGCCCTGGTTTGAGCTCTAGCTGTGAGCCCAGAAAGGTTTTCAGAATCTCTCCACTTTAAAAAAGGCTAGGAGGTTTGGGGCTGTAGCTAGGGTGACCAGATGATAACTGGAAAATATTGGGACTGCCGCAGGGGGAGCACCTTTTCAATTGTTACACTCACCCGTCTGGGTCTTCGGCGGCACTTCGGAAGTACCCGCCGCCGAAATGCTGCCAAAGACCCGGACAGGTGAGTGTAACAATTGAAAAGGCGCTCCCCCTGCGGCAGTCCCGATATTTTCCTAAGCAAAGCCTAACACACTAGCTAAAAAAAAAAAAGCCGCGCCCGAAACAAAATATTGGGACGCGGGACAAACTGCTCGATATCGGGACAGTCCCGATTTTATCGGGACGTCTGGTCACCCTAGCTGGAGCTCAGGAATTCCGGGGTCAAATGGCTCTAACTGTGGGCTGCTAACAGAACCCCGCGCCTCTGTGAGGAACCCCGCGGTGCATGGCAATGCAAGGGATCTCATAGATTTTAGCACACTTAGAAGAGTCAAGCTTTAACCAGAAGAGCCGTGCATCTGACCGGGGGAGTGCTATATTCCACTTCGTCTTTGCAGATACAGAGAAACTGATCACAGCACTAAACATGAATGGGTACAAGTGAGCACGATCTGATCACATTTATAATGTGCAAACAGAATAAAGTCCAGACTAGTGTTTTAGATACTTGGTACTTTAAAAGGGCCAATTTTGCAAAGCTGAAAATAATTATGAGCCAAATCAGCTGAGAGGAAGAATAATCAGAAAAATGTGAATGACAGCTGGGAATTGTTTAAGAACACTTTACTAGGTGCCCCAAAAGGCCTTGTTGGTTAGAAAACTGACCTGATTTAGAAGGAAGATGATGGCAGCTACAAAAAATGAATGATGTAGATACACATAACAAATGGAAGAAAGGGGAAGTTGACAGTAATGAATATAAATCAGAAGTTGGGAACTGTAGAAAATTGATAAGGGAAGCAAAGGGACACAAGGAAAAATCTATGGCCAGCAGAGTTAAGGACAATAAGAGAGAGTTTTTTAAGATGATTAGGAGCAAAAGAATTTTAACAATGGTATTGGTCCACTAGTAGATGGAAATGATAGAATTATTAATAATAATGGAGAAAAGGCAGAAGTGTTCAATAAATACTGTATTTCTGTTCTGTATTTGGGGAAAAAACAGATGATGTAGTCCTATCACATGATGAAGATAACTTTCCATTCCACTAGTATTTCAGGATGTTAAACAGCAGCTACTAAAGTTAGACATTTTTAAATCAGCAGGTCCAGGTAACGAACATCCAAGAGGTTTAAAACAGCATGCTAAGCAGCTCACTGTACCCTCAGCAGCAGAGAGTCCTGTGGCACCTTATAGACTAGCAGACGTATTGGAGCATGAG